CTAATGTCACAAAAAGTATGCTAGGATGTGACAGTTATTATTTAAATATTTTAAAAATACCATAAAAAAAAAAACCTAACCAACAAAGCCGGACCAAATAATTATTTCGAGGAAAGAGTATGTTTTTTTGGGGGGAAAAAAAAAGCAAGAAACCAAAATTAAAATGTGACTTGTGATGCACTTCTTCTTATTTTCAGTATAATTGAACTCAGTTCACTAGTTTTGAGGCGTTTGTTGATTACTTATGCGCATGTTGTATCTTTTGAGAATCATCTTGCGCACGTCAGAAGGTTATCTAAATCCTCGAAGTCTTAGCCACTAATTTTTTTAATTAATTAAATAACAAACAGTGAATGTCAGGATACATGCTTGATGTTCGAATCAATTGACGACTGATCAATTTGGTTTCCGCGAAGAATATATTTAGGTAATTCTTCTGCATTTGCAACTTCAAATCTCCTTTTGTACTAAACTTACTTATATTACTCTCTTTATTCTCAAAAAATAATTCACATTAAATTTTATGATTTGCAACTTAAAATCTGCTTTGTACTCTAATCACCATTTTTTTATTTTTTTATTTTTTTATTTTTGAGATAGAAAGTAGATAATCGTCGTTTTTATGTATTTGCCCACAATTTAACTTAACTCAAAAAATGCAGGTGAGACCTTGAGAAATGTAGGAGCTCCCAGCTTCATTTGGTCAATGCATGTCAGCAAGTTATTTAAATTCACGATATTAATTCTCCTAAGAAAAGTGTTAAACCACATGCCGTATAAGTAAAATAAAAATAAAATAAAATCTATAACCACATTGTTAATAGCCAAACGGTTGACTTTTAAATCACCCATCCAGAAAAACAAAAATTAATTATCCTTGGAACAAAGCGAAATCACGTCATTTTGTTAATCACATGACGAACAACCCAAAAATTAAGGGAGTTGATCTAAAGAAATCCCAGAAAAGATCCTTTGAACAAACCGAAACAAACTGCCATTTTTCCTTGATTCTCGGCGAGTCAACAAAATCACATGGTGTAAGAACTGGAGTTGGACGACACGAAGGGATTTTAGCTTTTTCTTTACGTACACAAATCATCCATTCATTTCAACATTACAAGTTGTTTTAATCTTTTTTTCTTTTTTATTTTTTTTATTTTTTTTATTTTGAAAACCAAGTTGTTTAATCTTAAAACAGGAAAAAGAAAATAACAAGTAGGTTTATGACGAAGATTATGATCGTTTAGAATCAAAGGAATCGTAATTTTCTTAATTAGAAGGATTAAAAGTGTTGGACGACACTTTTATATTATGCTTGCTTCTCTTGTAAGGAGTCGCAGCTGGGGGCCAAAAACAGAAAAAAAGAAAAAAAAAAAATCCGGGAATAAAGAACTAAAATGGTAGAGTTTCTATTCATGATCTAAATGAAAAACCCTAATCAATGGTTGCCGTGGATTTTTTTTTTCTTTTTATGTATTTATTTAAAATTTACACAATGTCTACTATTAACATTCTCTCGTTAACTTATTGACATCTCGATTGGTCATCTTCCAAAACCCTACAAAGTCAAAGATGGCAATTTTATACACAGAATTAATAGATTACAGTTCATTGTACATGCATGCTTAATGAAGTGGTACAATAAAATTTGAGATATGAAGCCAACAAGATGCAACCAATAATCCAATAACCCAATAACAAATTACACATATCAGCGTAACCACAAACACATAATGCTAATAAATTGTTTGATTTTTGCTCAATTAATGCATGAGCATCATGACGTTTAGCCCATAATCAAGGTGATGTAGCCTACCATTGATTCATGACCTTGAAAATATTAGACAATCAACGCCGATTGACTCAACTGGTAGGGGAGATTGATTCAACTAACGCTAGGAGATATTTCCCTCGACAAATGATTTCTACAGGAGTTGAATGGAAAAAAAAAAAATTGAGTATGATAATAGATCCCTGTCTAAAACGATTCGGGTATGGAAAAACATAACCAAGAGGGGAAAAGAAAGTGGGTAGCGATTTGTTTTTTTAAGAAAAAAAAAAGGTTAGAAGTGTGGATGTTGATGAAAGAATATAGAAGTGTACCAGATGTTAAACCCGCGCGATGCGCGGGGTTTATTTATATATATTATAAAAAATATAAAAAGTGTAAAATGTATTTTTAGTCCATATTAAGATATATTAGACAACTAAAATTAAATAAAGGCGTAATTGTAAAGATAAAATAATGCATATTATTTGAAATGCAAGTGTTCACTTGATTTTTATTGAATGGCAAGAACTGGACAATAACACTCATAAGCAGAGTAAAATAAATAATATTGTATTAAGATTACATATTGAATGAAAAGATAAAATGATTGTACGCGTAAAATACATAATGAAGTAATTAACAATAGTAGATGGTAGATTATGTGTGACTGAAGTATGAACTTTAAAATTTTTATAGTTATTTTGTTCTAATTAAAGATTTTATGGTATTGTTTGGCCCAATACTTAATATTTTAGAGGAACAAACTAACTATAGAGTTAAAATTTTTGTCCTTTAATCCCTTTTTGCTATGGCAGTAGAAAATAATAATTAATGAAATTATGGGTAAAGAAAACATAAATGTAGTAACGTCTAAAAAAGAACCCTAAAACATCATTTTGCAGAAAACATACGGAAAAAAAAATTCATATATAACCTTAACTAACCATTACCTCCCATGTCACACGATCGACCCACTATTAGTTCATCACTTTTAGAACAACAAACCAATTGTAGGGTTAAAGTTTTTGCCCTTTCATCTTTGGATTTCGGGTTGTTATGGGAGGGGAAAATTTTTGCAGCACTGGAACATACTCATGGTTTGTGTGGCATGTATAAATAGAGATAAATTGGGATTGATGATAATTGATTATCCACAATTTCAGTAATAAAGATAAAGTTTATAACAATTTTTGAGATATTGTTAAGGAAAGATTATATTTATTTGAGTAGATATGATATTACACAAATAAATGCATTGGTTTGAAATTTAAAAGATAACAATTAATTATAGTTAAATCCCATCCTTTTAGTAATAATTGAAGGCAAGTTTTGTACCTTTTTTTTCTTTTTTATTGGCGAAAAATACAGGGTCATGTTTTTGGGAGAAGATTTTAAAGATAACATTAATGTTGAATGATTGTTTTTTTTTTTTTTGAATTGTAGTCTATTGATTTACATGATTGGGAGAGAGATTTTTGTTTTAAAGAGATTAATTAAATGAGTCCATTAGTAACTTTGAGGATTCTTTTGGGGAGGGAATAATTCTGGTGCATTAATGTTCATTAATCCCGTCTATTAAGTTTAATTAATTTTTATTTTTCTATTTTAAACTATAGTTTTAAATGCCATTTGATAAAACTTTATTCACATAAAATTTGAAGGACTATTAGTATAATTGTTGTAAATATTTTTTGACTCAACCATTAAAAAAATGACACATAGGATTTTATCCTATGTGACACCTTTAGAATTATTTTTTGTTTTCTCTCTCTGATTTCTCTCTTAGTATAATACTATAGATTCTCTCTCCGGTTTCTCTCTAATTAGTATAATACTATAGATTTGGCTTCATTAATTTACACGTTTCCATGTTAAAGTGAGGATGTTGGTAACACCAAGATAAATTAATTGATGGTACAAATTTGAAATTGGCGCAATCTACGGAAAATTAAGTATGATTGTGGGTGTCGCAAGTGTTGTGGTATACGTAGCTTTAGGTTCGATAAGTTTCAGTGAGAAGAAACAAATTAGGATACACTTAATTTTCTGGATGTGTTGAGAGTAACACGAAAAAGAAAAGGACAACTATATGTGTAATCATCAAACAAAATAGTTTTTCTCACTTATATCATGTTGCTTTATTTGCTGGTGTGCCAATAGTTTAGAAATTATGCTGCTAATATGAGTCGAACTCATAAATTTTACTATGAAATTTGTAAGAACCAGCCACTTGTTGTTCCCTATTGTATTAAAATGAAAATTTAAATTGAATAATCACTTTGATAGAGAGAAAGTATTATTAAAATTTAGTTTTGAAATATTTTTGGTCCAGTTCCTCTCACACCATATATTTCTGTTGATAATTAATAAAATTTACACGATACTGTATATATACCCTTAAAATAAAATATAGGAGTACGAATAATGTGTGCATTAACAATACACACATATGTTACTCACAAGAATATAGACACAATTGATACTCGAAGAATGTCCAATTCTAGAATCGATTGGCAAGATGTCTTTCAAAACCGGCCTGAGAATATCAAATCGCCTTACCTTCGTCACGATTGGGTAGTACGTACGTAATATGATGTTGTTCCAAATGTGGTCTGATGAATTAAAAAAAAATAAATAAAGAATCAAATGAAGTAGTTGTGGTGACAGGTTTGGACTTTTGGAATGGTGCAGATGGCACATTTCGGGATTGTGTTGTTAATCTAGACTCTCTCATCTTGATTTGTTGCACAACAGTTTGACCTTGACTTTCAAACAGTATTAAATTCTAACCTAAAAAACTTGGGGTATGTTAGGTTTTTTTAGTACGTGTTTTTAGGTGTTTTTTGTATTGAAAATGTAAAAAAATATGATGGGATGGAACAGTTATTATTAAATAATCTGAAAAAATTATCCGAAAAACCAAACAAACATAGCCTTGATTTTTCACTTAATATAGTTAAGTTTTGATTTTGATACATTGGGACGGAGGGAGTAAAAGAAAGTGATTGAGTGCGAACGATCAGATCCTATTCAGTTCAAGTCAAGGCCATAATAAACAAAAAAATAAAAAAATTCTGATATGGAGTCAAACTAAACAGTTTTGGTTAAAACATTCTCTCTCAGCCAGGTTAGTCACTTGAGGCCAAAAGATTCCGTTAGCTGAATTCGGCCATTCAAATATATTTCTCTCTGAAATGCAGAAATCCGGCAAGCTGCAAATCAGTGTTGCTCATGGCGTATCCAGGAGGCCGATATCGGCTATGAAAACATTTCCTGAATCGCACCATCCTCCGACAATATCCTGGTTGGCACACTGGCAAATCGAAAGACAACACCAAAACGCGCTCTAAGAATTAATGAAGTGAACCAAGAAAGATTTCAAATAATAAACTGGAGCCGCACTCAAGGTTGAATAACTGCTTAAAATCCTAGCCAGATTGTTACTTCAATTTTTATCCACTCCCATGTCATGATAATTCAATGTGTGTTGTCGACTGACAGTCAAAGAGGAATATTGTTCAATAATAACTAATCCGATACCTTTGAAAATCCAAGCCAGTTTGAATCTCCTCTGTACGAGAAGGCCTTGTTGCCCTTACGCCACTGTCCGCACAGAACCTTCACGGGAAGAACAGGATCCAGAAATATATCAATGCTAATTCATGATCATCAAAGGGAATGTTCATAATGCCAGTGACCTTCTATTTTCTCCCATGTTAACTAGGACATTCAGCTTATTGTTTGTGCCCATATGGATAGTTTACGGACATGCTCATACAGTACGAAGTGAGAGGAAACACTCGAAATTCAGCCCTTCCACCTTGTAGCAGAATATGACTACATGTTATTTGACTCACATATATGGTTTCCCAGTGCCATGTATATTTATACGTCTAATGCATATTAAAAAGAATATACAACTTGAAAGCATATCATCGACTATAAGTGCAAATTTAAACGGATAAGAGATAAGTACAGTAATGAAAGGGTGATCCCAACTACTTAGAAGCTATTTTATCAAGATACTTTTTCTCCTAAGCATGTATCATCTGAGCATAAAAACAGTACCTCATAATCAACTCCTTGCACAAAAATATAGTCTGGATCAACTGAGGAAAAGGCAAGTCCAGTTATCTGCAACATTGAAAGCCAAACACTACAGGTTATTTTTAAAATGGTGCTAACTTCAACAAGATTGGCAGGAAAGAAAGTTAAAAAAGAGATTTGATATCAATCCCTTTTTTTCAGGAATTCACACTAAATTCGCTAATGTTTCCAAATATGACAAACATAATTGTAGGTTTCTCTTCTATAACTGATTGGGCTCACCTTTCATCTCTAACTTAAAGCTCACAAATTGGGTTCATCAATCCTATAGGCCATAGGAATGTGGAATTGTAAAGTAATGGGTAAATCATATGCCTTTACATGCTGTCACCTCCTTCTTTTACTTTTATGTGTTACTTTTCCTTCCAGAAAGAGGTTCAGCTTGGGCTACTGCCCCAGACCTACCAGCTGCACCAGTCTTCAATCCAAAATATAACAGCTCATTTCTTTTTTCTTAGAAAAGCATATGTACATCAACGCCACTGTTTTTTGTTAGAGAATAAAATCTTCAGGTTCTTTCACGTCTCAAAAGAACCTTCCTCAGACCTCAGACAAGATTTTCAGAAATGACACAGTATATCTTTTATTCAAGCTCATAAATGACATGTGGCAACTGCTTCTAATGCCTTTCACCCGTAGTATCCCTCTCCCACAATTACAAGAGTTCTCAATTGCCAATCTTTCTAAAACTCCTTCAAGAGACAAAATAAAACATGGATGTACAACAATTCACTAACCTCATATTTTGAACAAGTAAGCCAGCGCGACAATGGCGACCATCTACAATAAAGATACAAGATGTTGTCTCTTCAGTCAAGTGAGGATGGAGCAAAAATGCCTCCTTTTACCAGTTGGTTAGGAATTTAATTTACAATAAAATGCATCTGTGTGAGGAGCAGAGAGGATAATGCATAAGACTGATTGGCAACGTATTATAAGAAACTAATAAAGGCATAATAAGTAGATGTCTACAGACAAACAAGAATATCCCAAGTCCCAACTCTGTATTTAACAAAGGAATGAAGCTTCGGGAGAGTGGAAAATTGCAGAAACAGAAATTATCCTCCACAAAAATCCCTTCAAATGGAACAAGAGAGACAGTGAATTTAAGAGATTTAATAAGTGCCACCTTAGTTTCCCAATCAAATAATGTACCTGCGAGGATCATAGACTGTCACAGTACGATCGGCTCCACCTGCTGCAATGGTTCCAGTTGATGAAGTGCAAACTGAGTAAATAATATCTCCAACAGATCCAGCCATTCTATGCACACAGCCACCGTTTTCTTTTATCCTTAAATCCCATACGCTAAGCTGAAGAAATTAGACATGACCAAGAACTTAAGCAACAGCTAAAGAAAAATGTGGGCACATATGGCTTGAGCAGGAATCACCTGGCAACCTTCTGCAACAGCTAATATGGAACCTTCACTTCCTCCATATAGATCGTTCATAAAGACCAATGAAGATGGATACCATAATCTGATAGATTATATTATCAATTTTCGAAAATATCCAACGAAAATCAGAATTACGATGTGAGAATAGTTATCTCATTAGATAATTTCCTAGCTCAATCAGGCACTTCAAGAGGTGATTCACTGGAAAATTTTGAACAATTTATCCTTCCATATCCTCGGAAGCATTTCTCTAAATGTAGATACAGAGCCTATATATTCACACAAAATTTACTTAACAAAACCATTCAATAAATACCATTGCTACATATTTCTAAAGCTATAATTTTTCAGAAAGCATTAGTACACGCTGTCAATCAACAATGACAAAATGGTAAGAAGATACAGGAACACATTACTACATTAGTAACTAAGAAGAATAGCAGTGTACTTGTAAAAGTCAAAATTGTAATTGTGATCTCCAAAAGTTTCTTAGCAGGGGTAAAGGCGGTGTTCTAGTTTTGATACAAATGCCAGATCAAATATCAAAAGGATGTAAGAGATAAAGCCAAAATCAAGATGAAGTACTCTTTCATATGATCAATTGGAAATCTTTCAGAAACTTAAACGATGTGAGATTCAGGATCTCAGAAAACCCATAGCTGTTTTGCTGTAGCCCATTCAAGTTGCCAAACCATATCATATGCTGGGTACACCACTGGATCAAAGTCAAAAGACAACTCAATTTCCATGCTCAGCTCAATAAATTAGACTGTATCTCTGGAGATGTTGATTCAGGTTGTTTTCAAATTACAGAAACAAGACCTTAACAAGTTTATATTACTTCAAAGCATATTGAGATTGCAAAAGTCATCCCCCACAAACACCCCCCCGGGCCAAGAAACAGAATCACTTCAAAGATACTTACGGACGTAGAGTTCGGAGATGAATATCTTGGTCATATACATCAATACTTTTGCAGAAGCTGCGGCCCACAGCAGCCTGAGAATAGCAACACGGGGCAGAAATCAGTTGTATGGTTATGAAATTCATCAAGATACAAATCACAGTCAAACAAAACAGGTATGGTAGCGATATGTCATAACAAGAGAGCAAGAAATCCAGCATGTTTGGTACTATCCAGATATGCAACACAAGGTTAACTGAAAAAGCAATAAAAGGCAAAAACTATAGGGTATGACTCCATATTCAAGTTCAAATATAGATCAATTTTCAGTGTCTCTAGTAGACACTTTCAACTGATCTAACTTTCTAATTACTGATACACAATCCCGGCCAAATCCTTGCCAATCACAATTAGTAAGACTAGTAAAGTAGCAAACCAAAAATGTGACTTTGGCAGGTCTCAAGCAGATCAAGACACTGTGCTTCATATTAGTATTACCTTTGAGATAGGCTCAAGCTACTAGATTATCATAAAAGCCATGCTGACTCCAGCTTACAGAGTAAAGGTCTTTAAAATTTCGTAACTCTCACATAATCATGCTTCACCATATAGACGAATTGTGTTCTGAATATAGATATGGTAAGGGAAATATCAGCAAAGGAATCAAAATACAGAAATGCAGGTGATACGGCATGACCAAATAAGTATAACAATCAAGTAAGGCACAGAAAAGCTCTTGAGTACTCTAATACGGGGCAAGCAAAATAAGATTTGACAGAATCACGTATGAATTCGAACTCAGTTCAGAAGACAAATGAGTACCATGGACCATTGACTTGGGTTGAAAGAAAGGCCAGCCCAACTACTTTCACCAGCACCAAAATCTCGTGGAGACACAGAAAAAGTAAACCTATCAACATCTGAAACACACACATGTTAGTGAATTGATTCTGCAAAGCAAGGCCAATTACTAACGAAATGTAACAGAAACATTCATGCGACTGAGGGAGTGTAGTCAAAATCTTATGTGCACAAGGAAATGCAATGAAAAGGGAAAATCTTTGATCTATAAGATACTCATTAGTGCTCTCACACTAAAACCAAATCAGAACTGGCCATAAACCACACATAAATAAAGCAAACACAACCAGAGAGAGAGAGAGTTTGTGCTACCTTCAGCATTGTCGTCCAACTTTGAAACAATGAGATGACCATAAGAATCTACACTTCCCAGTATGAAGCAACCACTACCTGCAGATATAAGCAGAAGTTCTCTTACATTTGTGTAGCATATTTAACTTGACGGACAATGATAACATGATCATGGACAATCTGCAACTCTCTGACTACAAAAAGAAACATGAATAAAAGTATCTTTTATAACATAATATAGACAATAATGTCCACAAATAATTGTGAAAACATATATGAAAAAGTATGTAAGAAATTTCACTAAATTCAAGCATGAGAATGAAGAATGGAGGAACTTTTTCCACACAGAATGCATAAACAATGTGCCCTGCGGTATCCTGGGCAGTGGCATGGATACTTTAGATTTAACACAAAACACAAGCTACACATGCCTCAGTTTCTTAACGACAAAAGTACAGGCAATCTTCTTAAAATTTTCCAAAAGAGAAAAGCTTACTTTCAGCTTCAGCAATTACTATACTTTGGATCTCTGATCGATGAGGGCAACGGTTCACAATAGCAGAGTCCAGAACCTTCATCATTGAATACATGCTTATGAGAAAACTTAGTAAATTTTATCATGAATTCTCAACAGCGGAGTAATAAACTCATTACATGCATACCTCAGTTGTCTCGGGGATTAAAAGGCTCTCTTTTCCCTGACTGACAGATGATCTATCCATTGAGATCTATGTAGACGAAGAAGAATGCAGTAACTAATCCAAACAATATAGAATCAAGACAGAAACTTTCATGAGATTTCCAAGCATAAAGCATCATGAGTGTGGGACTTTTCCTTTCATGGTGTCAACTTTTCTTTTTAACATCTTTTTCATATTGACATTAAGTCAGTCACAATGTGGGCAAAATTAAAACAACACGGACGAGAACAACTAACAAGCAACCAAAGACAAGCCCAACCGAAAAACCATCTGGTAAATAATTGATGAATATGAATACCAATAACCGAAATGAAAACAGAAAACGGAAGTTGATAACTACAAAAACTACACCATTGTTTAACCAAGTAAAGGGAAGGGATAAGTTGGCTGTAACCAAGTGATACTAACATTAATTTGCATTATCAATTATCACTAAACATTAGTTGAGAAGAAACAAAGATTCTAGCTTGAAACAACATACCAGGACTTTGTAAACTAGGCAACCCGAGGCAATATAGACCCAACAGGAGTAAGAGGAATCAGAATCATTCTCTGTCACCTACAAGGAAGTTGTAAAGAGCCCTTTAATCAAATTGAAAAGGTTCCAATAGAGAAATAAGCCAAGCTAATAATGAAGAGAAAAACCGGACATGGAGGGCTAAACGAGTTGGCTGAAGGTTTCCAGGAGATGGATTGGGGATAAGGGTCGGTGGAACCAAAGCCTTCTTCAAGCTCTTCACTTCCAACATAGTTTATTTTTATTATGCTATCCTATCTCTGCAACAACTTCCCCTGTTTCTCCTCCGAGCTCTTCTCAATTTGTACTCTTTCAGGCTCTCTCTTATGGCGGCAACTCCAGTATCAAAGTTATAACTGTTTTACACAATTCTCTGTCCGATCCTTTTTTTCTTTTCTTTTTTGTTTTTTTGTTTTTTTTTTTTGGCCTTTTTCATTATTTAGGAGGGTTCTTATATTAACTTTTGGAAATGTCAAATTTGCACTGGTTTTTCCTTTTTCATTATTTAGAGGGGTTGCATTAATTTATGGAAATGTCAAATTTGCAATGGGCAAAGGTCAAAAGTATTTTGCTTCAACCTTTATTAATGACAAATTTCATTCTGCTTTAAGTCCATAGTATCGATTGATGAACAAATTACATTCACTTTTAATCCATATGTTCTGATAAATGATCAATTTTTTAGGTCAAACATCGTTCCTTCCATATGGAGTAAAAAAAACCAGTTTGGTAGTGAAAACGTCAATTCATCATCACTTGAGTTGGTTCTAAATTTTCCCAAAGCAGCTTAGGGAGAGAATATTGGTTTAGTTTTTGGTACAGTTAAAAAAACACTACTCTTTAACAACCATTGGTAATATTACATCTGGTTGTCCATAATTGAAAGAGCCAAAGTCCTTCAGATTCTTAAGAATCACACATATGGTGAAAACAGAAATCAGCAAAACAGTGCCCTCAGATATGGAATATTAGAGTCAATCATCATTAAACATCATCTATAGTTTAAGGCTACTAATCACTTATCAAGCACTTCCGGCACCACCTCACTTTAGATAGAATAGATTGATAGACAGATCATGTTTTTGGATTCATGAACAGATTGATAATAAAAATAAACAAATAAATAAATAAATGAAGGGCGAACTACATTTTGCCTCCCCAAGATTCAAGAGGATAGGCAACCATGGAAGGCCTCTGATAAGTGGCAACCAGTGAAACTGCTCCATAAGATTCAATTTTTCATCACAGGGCAGAACCAACTACCACAAAATTAATTAAAAAAAAAATTAAAAAAAGACCCAATCTTGCATTTTAGAAAAACATCAATTTTCAAACAAAACCCACCAAGATTTTTATCAAAAAAAATTTAGATTAGGAGCCCTCAGATCTCATAGCTTCTGTAAATCATAGACGGGAATAAACACGGAGTAGTTCACCGGAACCCTTTTAGAAACCACCGTCAAAACCAGCCAGCCACCGTCACCGACGTGCGTGTAAGTGAACGTGGAAGGAGAAAGAGATGGGAGAAGAAGACGGTGACGGTGACGGCGGCGGCTGATTTCTCCGGTGATGGCCAAAGGAAACCGGTGAACCTTAAACCGTCATTCCGCTCAAACAATATGATTTTCCATCATTGGGCAGTAAAAATTTCTCATTCGAAAAAAAACCACATTCAAATTGAAGTAAACATCAGAAAGAAGAAATCAAAAAACCCAACATTTTGAGTTAGAAATTTCAGAACGATACAAATAAGGCACCGCTGCCACATTGCGGTTTAGGGTTAATACCATGGCGAGAGTTTAAAAACCTGCTGCCTTCAGGCCAATTTGTAGTGCTTTTTTTGGGCCGAATAACATACTAGAAAACAATAAATGGGCTAGAGAAATAGTTGACAGTTAAATGGACTTATTCACTTACTAAACACCTTCTAATTGGATTTTGGAGCAAGTTATTTTATGGATTCAAAGTTGATCAGTTGGGCCTTAGTTTGGCCCTTTAGTGCTAATCTCATTTCCATTTTTAACACACAAGTTATGCAAAAGAAGAAGTCTGTGTTGCAAGATTGGCTAAAGAAGATACTTCCAGTATGTTGTTCGTGGTATTGCATGATATGATCATTTAAATCGATTGGTGTGATTTCCAAAACAAGGAAGCAAGTTGATTGAAATTTGGATTTCAAATAGAGACCACCGAAACATAGATAAATCAAAGTTGCACTAATAATTTAAACTAGAGAAAGATTATTTGTTGCGTTCAGTTTTTACTGATACAAGGTCAATTGTGCCGCTCATCGGATTAAAGAATGTATATTAGGGAGGAAAAATACATATAGAGGGATATGGTTTTCTTTATTACTTTTTTCCTTCTAATTATTGAAGAGGGAGAGGCATGAATGTGACATCTTGAATAATCTACCTATCTCACTATCACACCAAAAAAGAAAGAAAGATAAAGCATGATTCTTTATTGTAAGCTTTTTTAACTTTTCAACAGACATTTGGAATCTCTAACAGCAATGATGCAGCAGAAAAGAAATCAGCAGATTGGCAAAGAATCTTTTTAGCAGCTCTAGTTTTTTGAAGTTGCAGTGGAAATGGCAAGCTAAGTACATTTTGCTACTTTTAAGAATCATACAGAGTACTGAATTTCATGGGAAACCTGTCAAAATGGCTCAAACGTGCACAAAGCGGAGTGCTTCCTGAGCTTTTTGTTGATACTCTTATTCCAGCATGAAAAAACAAACATGCATTTGATCTGCTTTACAAATAAATACAAGGGCAAAAACCTTGCTCATCGCCAAGTGGACAGTCATTACAAATGAAACCTTAACATCCTCGAGAAACAAGAATCTAAGCATATATTTTAGAGCTGTCTGCAGTCTTCAGGAGCTGAAAATAAGCATATATATATTCAGGAGATTCCCACTTAGGCCCAACCATTCAGACTGAATTCAAGGGATATTGGGTTTCTTTTAGATAGTGGATGCTAATGATTTGTGACCTCAATCATTGCAAGAGAAAATTAATATGGTAGAAATGAAGAATCCTTCATATCTTTATATAAAAGTTTCTTTTGTGATTTGTGGGATCAAAAGTACTCTAATCCGTTCACCGTAATTGCTCATTACTTCGATAAAGCAGAAGCGATGCATGGATCAAAGGACTAAAACTAAATCCTCCTTGTCTTAGAATTATCTAGTCATTGAAACTTCTGCGCCTGTAACAGAAGATCAAACTCCACAGACATCATACAAACTTCCACCAAGGTTCTAAGCCTCATCCAGTTGAATCTGAACGCCGGCAGATCCTATCTATCAGGTCCAGTCTGGTGATAGCGAAAGTTAAAAGCCCGATAAGTTCTGCAGAAGCTTGTGCAGAACTTAGTATCTTCATATTCTTGGACATGAATATATTCTTTTGACTTGGTTTATTAAAGATATCAATGAACTACTTTTGAACCCTTGTTTTGGTTAACTGATAACATTTGACTTCTGAAACAAGAATCATCCAACTGAGGGGAAAAAGGTTGAGCCCACTACCTTGGTATCATATCTGCTAATAGGACTCTAATGACCTTAATTAACTAATGGATTCTTTAAACAAACTGGCGTGCAACATTATAATGTGCACACATCATCCTCATATCTTGACCTATAAACAAACCAAAAAAATCGTAAAAGTAGCCCAACGATTTCTTTAACCTTTTCATGTGCTGCTGTTGCCAAAGAAAATGTTGAGCCGTTTTTTCTGCTAGTTCCAGATATTAAAATCTATCTTCATAAAAGCTACTTTAGTGGCCACTAAGTGACTCTACACCTGCAAGTCATTTATCTATCATATTTTAATCACCACCCTTTTGAATTGGTGCTCCACCCTTTGGATCGCAACTTGAGTGCATATCAGATGCTTCTGCTATAATACCTGGACCTCACAAGCAGCACAAACTGTTGCTTTGTGACTGTAGATTCATTTCAGTTTCTATAAGCAGCTAAAACAGACTCAAAAGGGATATCTTCTTTTTAAGTCCGATGGCTTCATACTTTGAAAGCAGAAAAGACGACGAATATATGTATATATTCCTGTGAAGTATGCTTCATCAGATGAATGGTCATATGAAAAGGTGAAGCCAATATTATGAAAGTATTCTATTGAAGAAGCTCCGTCATGTTCAAAAACTTCATTCCAACATGCAAGTAAATTGGACAGTGAAGAAAGGTGTGGCCTCCGAATCAGATAGGCAAGGAGCAAAAGCAAAAAAAAAGAGCAAGACCATGACTTTTGAATTTAGTAATAGTAAATAATGCAGTATTTTATATTTTATCAGAAGATAGTGAGATGCTAATCCTACTCTGATCATGGCACCCCATTTAGAAAATCATATCTTTATGTATCACACAAATTGACATGACTACACGCAATGCTGACATCTTGGATTAGAAAACACTAAACTTGTTAATGACCAGGATTTACTAAATCGATATTCAGTCAATGGAATAACAACATAACAAGAAAAGATAAGAACAGTGAACCAAGACTATTCGTGGAGAGAGGAAAGGGGAAAAGGGAAACACGCTGTCGCCCCTATATATAATAGCTTCCTCGCTTATCCTCTAGCAAGTAGTATGTGCTAGCTTGTTTGTCTTCTCATCAAGGAAAGGGTAAATTCTGGTGAGGAATCAAACCCCGAGAGCAAAATAAGTACATGGAGAAACAGGAGATATTAACATTATGTGATCCTATGGGCCATCTGAACAAAACCTATCTTGGGTTTTGCGACAGTTACACTCAAGGAAGAGACCAAAGATCAGCCAAGTATGTGCGGGCCTACAAAGCAGATGCTATTTCACAACAATTTCTGCATGTACCAGGAGAATGAAAATTAGGTTCTAGCTTCTGAAGTGTAGCTTGGCACTTCCATAAAAATCAAGCAGTGCTCACCTCGCAATGTCTGTCATTTACAGGGAGCCCTGTGGCTCACTGCTCTTAGATTTTTTAAAGATTTACTGTTATAAGACAATCTGTACATGTTGGTCCTTGAAGACTAATCTTTGGTGTCTATAACAAGTGTGAACATCCCCCAGAAGCTGGCTAGCTTTGATGACTATTAGGTCAGTACTATATTAGCATATTAGGTAGCTGCTATTAAGGCATTTATGGTTAGGAGCTGTTCCCCTCATCCCCCTCTGCGCTCATAGTGGATGTAATTTGTTGCACTCTATCATCCCATTATGATTGTGTGCATGTATGGAAAGATGAAGGGACCTTCTCATCCAATAATATCAATGTTTTGCATTCAAATCAACATTTTACTTCCTAAAGATTGCTGATCCAACCCTGTAACTTGCCTTCGTACAGAGGAGCATCAGTAGCCGCTCATGATTAAACAATCAAACCCCCAACCTTATGTACTCCTTTTTTCTGTGATGGTTCAGTTGATAAGAATAGGCAAATCTTTTCTGCAGACCCTTTTGATTGTGAAGCTGGATATCATTATGATGCCAAAGCTTTGTCCCTTGAGAAGTCTCCAGCAGATTACTCTGCTCAGCACTACTGGTCACTACAGTATTTTAATCAAGCCTAAGTAAACAGCTAAAGAACAGAACTAAGGTCACTCTACAATCCTTCCTGGCTCTTACTTATTCTAGTTATAAAATATGGGATTTGCGTGTGGACCTGCTTCTATATCAATTTTCTATATATGAATGGGCCGACTGTACATTCCCAGCCATTAATTCACTGTTTACTTAACGCTTCTTTAATGTACTTCTTAGTAAACAGAGACAAGAAGCTAGCTGACAATGATGAGGCGGCTAAAGGAATTTTTGCCAGAGTCAAGAAGCTCTTAGACCATTCAACAAGTTGGCTGCTAGGACCAAAATGATCCCGTTTCTAGTATTTTAGAAGCTGTTGTTGGAGATACTATAATAAACAATTTACTTGCTGTCACAGTCTATTTCAAACTTCAAAACTAAGTCGTTATATAAGCCAAAATGTTGGTGAGAAAAGAGTGTAAAAAATCATTTGTGGGCTATGGTCCTTATGTTTAGTAAGCAACAAACAGTAACATGGGCAATTTTGAGTAGTAATATATACTTCTACACAGTCATAGAAGAACTGGCCCCCTACCAAAAAACAAATGGAAAGGAACCAATGAGGCAAAACTGAGGGTACTTAAGAAAACTAACCTCTTCAGCACAGCCATGATTGACAACAATAACACCAGTCTTGGAGCCATTTACTTCAGTCAGCACCTCGTCACTGTTGTCAGATGTGTCTTTCAGGCTGCATAAATGAGGCAAAAGGAATTACGATAGAATCTCCAAGAAAACAAGCTGTAATTCTAGAAGGCTGAAATGGACAAAAGATGGTAGCTGCCGCAGGAATAACGTCTACCTGTATGTCCAATGCTGCCTACTTTAGCCAAGTCTCAAGCTGATCTACGGAAGTCCCCATTTATAAGTTTTACAGCTTAAGGTCGTTTTCAACCCAGCACATCGTTTCTAGTAACACCAAACTGTAGGCGTTCGGTGGTGGCTACTTGGCAGACAAGAATAACTTGAGCCTCGTAATCAAGCCATCTCACTGTCAACGCATGCCCACCCATTTGAAGAAGCTTTTCATGATTCCTTTTACCTCCAAATGGTAGCATGTAATTCCATTGACAGAATTTTCCAAAATTCTACCCAACTGCCTAACCTCAAATCGCACTTTTTTCCCCTTGGAACACCAGAAATCCCACCAAAAATGGGTAAATCCAGAATAGAATCCAGAATAGAAATGATAACCCCCCAAAAAAAAAAAAATTCCCCTTAAAATAAACCCCCACCGAAAAAAAAAAAATTGGTAACTTCCAATAAATTTGTCCGATGACATGGCGCAGAACATGATCGAACACCAAGTAAAAGACAAAACATAGTTGCAAGTAACAATAGTTGTAACTTATGTACAGAAGCAACAGGAATCCCTAATTTTTGCTTGCTTTCTTCCAATATATAAGGATACAACAATAGTTACACAGTGAAAATGTAGACGGAAGACTAGGTGATCATAAGATGTGAAATACAAGGCAGGGAAGCCACAAAAGGAAAAGTGGATCTCAATGACGATCCAAACATTCAGAGCATAAAGAAATTGATCCTACAGAACAACAGATGAGTAAAAAGTTACAAACTGAACATTTTTTTTTTTTCTAACTCCTTTCTTCCTCCTAGTTCTATTCACAAGCAAGTTTTGTGTCGAAGCTACTCAAACAAATAGCAAAAGCCTGGAAGGCAGATAGTGGATACCGATAGTCCATGGTAAACATATCCTTCCCAACCTTACCAAACTGTAAGATAATCTTATCATGATCAGACCCTGATTGGGCCGGCTGGGCTGCTGTAGGACCACCAGCTGCAGGTTGTGTAGCAGCAATTAGCTGGAAATTTTTAACGGAGGCCACAGTAACCCTCCCCCTGAAATTAAGACACCAGCACTGGAGTTGTTCATGCCATCTCGGCGGCTTGTTTCTGAGAACTAATGGCCTCTCCTTGCCATCATCCTCTTCCCCTTCCCGTATAATGTCTGAGAAGCGGGAGCTACTAAACTCTGCTGAGTGGTCTATATATCTTGAGGAGGAAGTGCTCCTAAATGAATCCTCTAGCAAGCGAGGAAGAAGCTCTGGCTGGCCTGGAACAGTGCCACCGGGTTCAAGAGCTGAGGCAGGGATTGAACACATTGTACAATTCATCCTGCGTGGTCCTCTGGTACCAAGCACATTTAGCTCATACGTAACCTGCGCAATGTTGTACTTTCCAGCAGGAACTTTAGGGGAAACTTTTGTCGAGTGGAACCTGCGACTAGTACGTCCGGAAGGGGCAGCTTGAGCATTATTATAAGGTGGTTGAGTATCATAGATGATAAACTTAGTCCCGAGAAAATTTGACCTGAAAGATGTAGTAGGACATGAGCTTGATGACAGATTCAGAAGGTACAATGCAACACCCCGACACACTAGCATAAGGAGTAGAGCACAAGCAGCAAGAAATAGCATCATTCACAGAAACCACAACTACACTCTAAACTCTAAAGCATCAAGTCACTGTCTTGATTTCATTTGGATGCTAACTCATACATCAGAAACATTATTAAATGCAATCTAAAGCCCCAATTATCGCAAAAATAATGTACTAAAAACTGATATATCAGTATCACTACCCTTGCTGACATCCAACACCCCTCTTTATACTGATATAGTCACTGTTCCAGAAAAAGCAAATCACTAATATAGGCAGTTCATACAATCAGGTGCCATCGCATCCAGATAAAACTACAGAAGAAAACCCTTCGCTAGGTTCAGTGAGTTCTGAATTACGTATAAGTGTCATTGTACCTGAAAGCCTAATAGTTAAATATACAAAAGACCATCATTTCCCCAGTCACTGTAGGAACCAGAGCCAACAGATATCTTATCACCAGAACCCAAACACAAAATGAATGTTCTATCAATCATATTTCAGTGAATTCCGAATACCACAGCCTATAAAATTTACGTCCGTCATCAAACTAGAGGAGTTCTTTAGAACTAAGGGTAAAATATCATTAAAGGATGAGATACCTCAGTTTGCCGATATAAGTGCTGCTTGACCTTGATATGTTATCGGCATCCATTGAGATCACATACTCTGTACAAGTTGTCCTTCGGTTCCGTTTTGCAGATAGCAGAAACTTACCATTTTCTACAAGCAAAGCTGAAAATTCATACAAAGTCAGATCATTGGTGTACTCACAAATTTATGTCCAGATAAGGTTATAACAGAAACAAGAATCAAGATAAACTGAAGCTGACAGGACCAGAATTATGGAAATAAATAAAGCTACATGGATTCATAGTCATAGACAAAATTTTCATAGCCCACAGAAACCCAAATTTTTAGTAACCTCATTCCCTCAAGTTTGAGAACCCAGAATATGCAGACGATGCAGACACAGCAGCCTTTCACCAACAATACTAAGCCCAAAAAATAAGAACAATGATATTTCAGCTAATGTAATAGGTGGTTTTTATTCAGAAACCCATTATGTGACTCAGAACAAAGCATCCAACAAACATAACATATCCCAAAGAATACATCCAAACATTTTGCTCCAAAATAAGACCATCATGCTCTTTCTCACTGAAGAAAAATATCTCCCTCACTAAAGAAAAATATGCCTTTAAACCAAACTACACACGAAAGTTAACATCGAAACTCCTGGCCCAGCACACTTTGGTCAACAAAACTCGTTTCCTATGCCACTACTGAAAGTCCTAAGAGCTGCATGAAATGATAACTATCATGAATACCTTATCCACTAACTGCAACAATTTATTGCTTGAAGGTGTTATTGTTTTTACAGATGCTGCACGCCACTTAAGGACAGTTCAAATTTTAATTTTGAAACTGCTTACAGAAAATATTCTATATTCCAACTTTCTGATTCTGTAGCAACGTCTATATACTTCTTGTAAGTTCATGTTGAAGAAAAATAGAAATCGGTTCATAACATCAAAATAAAATCAAAATGGCGAAAGAAACACTTCAACTCCCACAAGTATGAAGGACATTTCAATCATGAATGGGATTAAGCCCACAAGATCAAGATATCAGAAGATTACGGTACCCTGCGAGACTCTGTATAAACTAAAGATAACACCACAGGCTCTCATTACGACGTAAAGAAATTTAAAAAATCCTACGATTATAATCAGTAAACAGAGTTCATGCGGTCCATAAAATTAGGAACGAAAGATCAGCTCTTCCAACATTATTGATCAAATTGACTCTACAGTCTACATGCAAGACTATTGTAGTCTTGATACATAAAAAACAAAGAAACTTTCCTTCTGGGGGATGCCATGTATATATGAGCTAGAATAACTAGAAGAGATGCAGGAAGCCATAATAATTGGAGAATAAGAAAACCACAGAACATAAGTCACAGCAAACAGATCAATTGCTTATGCCAAACAATGTTATATATGCTAAGACAATTACTCCAAAGCGATACGGCCACAAAAAGGGAAGTTGCATGCAACTGCTTAAGAGGTTAGACAACCTGGCACACAAAATGATGCATCTCCTTGCACTGCGTAACAGTAATTTACCTGGACTGAGACAGAGGTAAAGATGGTATGTCAAATTTGCTTTGTCTCTTTTAATAAAGCACTGAATGGTTCCATCCCTTGGGCCAGGCTGAAAAATTACAAGAGAAATAATATATCATTAGATTGTCAACTGCACAAAAGTTTCACAACCTCAACCTTTTACCGACATTACAAAGTCTGCTAGACAAAATTTATTGAGTTGGGGGGAAGGGATCAGGAGAAAGTCTGAAAACAATGAACTTACCTGCTTAAGAGAGACAGGAAATGTCAGCTTCCCAGAAGACTCGGGATTTTGAACTAGTTCCTTGCACATTTCTCTCCATGATCGGCAGACAGCAGCACAAGCCACAACATGCTTGCGAGCAGGCCAAGTACTCTCACTGGCTTCCAACCTCTTAATGACATCACGGAGTAACTCAGGCGGAAGGCTAGCCCAGCAACTGGTCTGGATGACAAGAGGATGATCATGCAGCTCGTGGACTGCCCCTTGAGACTTTCCTCGGTGATGACCAGGAAGTCTCACATCAAAACTCCGTCTCGATAAGCTCCCGAAACTATCCCTCAGATCACGAGCTATGCTCCGGAATGACATTACCCAAATACGGAAAAGCCCAGAGCACTGCTTATAAGAAAATGTGCTTCAATGGTGCTGCAGAAATTATGTTATCAGGATATATTTCATCATCTGCAAACAGCAGTGTTACAGTAGGAGAATCAGTGATGGATGTAAAAATCATTTCACAAAACTTAGTAACAAAGAAAGACAATTGACAGCAACGGGTAAAGAAAAGCACAAAAGCAAGGAAAGAAGATTCCCAAACTAAAGAAAGGCTCACATGGAAGGCTCAAAAGCAGTACCTAAGAAGAGAACTTTAATCAGAGGTAACTTTTTCTGTTCCATAACACTAATTTGAACAACAAAAGGTCCTGTTTTGGCTCCATAAGATAAGTGAAATTTCCATGAATGCCTTTGCGACTAAGAGAACAACAGAATAAAAAATGCAATAATTGATAGTTGCCTATAGTTACGAGAGGAAATTTCTTTAGGCTCAGTAGAATCAGTAAACTAAAAAATCGAACAAAATAAAAGATTCAACCTGGACACGCTTCCATCAAGAACCATGCTGGTGGCCAAAAAACTGACAAGATAACCCAAAATGAATAAAGATTTTCGCAAATGAAACTAGATACTAGATTCTACCACAAGCTAACACAAAAATTTGCTCAAATATGCAGAAACAATTCTAACAATCTGCAACGAAATAGAACAAATTGCCCCCAAATTACATGCCAGAAGGATAGAATCCTTCGTAACAAAAAAAAAAAAAAAAAAGATAGATAGAATCCTAACTTTGTACAAATTCCAATGCCAGTCACTTACAAATTCACAAAGCCATCTCAGGAAAAAAAAAATTAAACAATCGATCACAACTCAATCTAAACAGTTAATATAAAACCAATAAATAAAAACCCAGAAAAGAAAAATGAAAGGGATACCAAAAAAGGGTAGCTGAGGAACTGACTGACCTTACAGTTTACCAGGACAAGAATCCCAAATTAGATTCGGAAGATGATCAAAACGGATGAAAACCCAGATGACCAGATCTTCAGATCGTCCAAACAAAAGAGCTAATCTGATTGAATTCAACACGGTTTCTTCAAATCTCCTCTCATTTCTCTCAAACTTTCTCTCTCTTCTTACTAACTTATCTACAAGTTTCTTTCTTTCTTTCTTTCCTGTCCTTTTATCACACAGCAACAGCGGCCCCCCCTCCCTTTTGTGGGGAATCCAGCTCTTTTTAATGCAACACTACTATAGTATATTAAAATCTGGGTCTTGGTCAGAAGGTCGTGATCAAAAAGTATACTACTAGTACAAAATTGTGCTATAAATTCTTGGTTTCCAAACTTCCAAATGTTGTTGTTTAATCCTGTGTGTATTTATGGTACGTTTTTAGTTAAACTGATGTGGTCTTAAATACCAGGGACTCATTTTTTACAGGTGATTTAAATACCAGGGACTACAAAATTCCACTCTCATCTCAACTCTAGAGTGTTCTTTTTTCTTTTTTCTTTTTTTTTTTTCTCAAATTGGATTTTCGTGTTTTGTTTATTCATGGATAGTTATCATCTCTTGAGAAAGGGATAAAAGGAATTACGTAGTGTATATGTATAGATAAGAATTATCAGTATGGAATTTCCATTTTAGTATTTAGTTATTTTACTTTCTTTTTATTTCCCAAAATATATATATATATATATATATATATGTTACACAAAACCAATGGAAAGACTACAAATCATCACAATTTCTTAAAAATAGAGTATTTTTTTTCCTCTAAAAATGGCATCCTTATCGCATAGATGAATAAAAAAACTACGTAGTTCGTATTTAATGCCACCGATGTATCTCCACAACAAATTAACAACAAAATAAACTTGTTATTCTCTGTATATGTGTTAATATAATCTTATTTTGTACTCCTTGTATTTCAACAAAATAATTCACATTGTAATATAACTCTTATTAAAAACAGAAGAACAATCCTTAATTTACTTGATAGACAATTTTTAATAGACGAGGGAAGTACATTTTGAGCTACATTTTGTAAAGTAAAATAAAATCTTAAAAATTCAAAAACAAAATAAATATTTTTTTTTCTAAAAAATAAAAAAAGAGCACATCAAAGCGTGTTTCAGTGCATCATCATCTTCAATCCCATGCATTTCACCACACATTCAGCTTTGATAAAAAGATACAGTTGACTATTTAAAATCTCGTAATTAATTGAGCATATCGAAGTCAAACTAATTAGAAGACTGCAACATGATATTAGGTTTGCTGGCAAAAACTAAATCGCAAAACCTTGCTTTTATTTTCTTCAAAACATATTTGTAGACAGTGACTTCTCAGCTAACCTCGACATTTTAGTTTTGAAAATTGTATCTATTGTTCTCAACTCCCAAAATGACAACACAATTCCGTTTTTTCTTTTCTCCCCAACAATTAAAAAAATTCATTAGATAGCATAAAACTTTATACTCTCTATTCTAAAATAACTGTATGAAGTGAATAAAAAATACAGTTACGGAATGACATTTCAAGTTGCGAGATTGAAAGTAAGATTATTCAACTGTCATCTGAAGGGTCGAACTAAAAAAATTTCAGCTGTTAGACATCCGTACGAAGGAAAAATCCGGCCGGCTACCTTAATCCAGCCTAGGTAAAAATAATAATAGTTATGGAACAGAAGAAATATAAAGTGTGAACTAATAAATTTTACGTTAAATCTAGTGAGTCATTGACCCAAAAACAGAAAAAAGAGCAAAGCAAATTTGCTTTACAATAATAATATGATGAAATAAAAAATATATATTTTTTAAAAAAAATTGAAAAAACAAAAAAGAAAGACAAAGAAAGATGATCACCTACTCCGAAAACCGTTGACCTGACATCAACCGTTCCGTTTTGCTGTGAATCCACTACGGTCCCGTTGCGTTATGCGCCTTTTGGGGAACGTTTTGGGTTACCCGACAAACACAATCCGCACGCACGAGTTAATAAAGCCACGTCATTCGGTGGGATATGGTAGTGTGGAGAAGGGTGTAGTTTGAGTTAGCGTGCAGACGCATTTAAGGCCAGTGATTTTTAATTTTTCTTTTCGGTGCAGGTTTTTTTTCATGTGAGATGATGAATCATGATTTACACATATTCGCATGCCTTTGGAAATCATTATGGAAAAAAAAAAGAGCCATAAGCCAAGTATACAATCACAATTTTCAGTGGTTTTGTTTTTGTTTTCTGAGAGGAAATGAAGAATCATTGCTAAACTAACTACAACTATATGGGAAACATTAGGATATGTTTGTTTCGTTTTTTTAGTATGTGTTTTTAGGTATTTTTTGTATTAAGAATGTAAAAAAGTATATTGAAAATGTAAAAAGGTATGCTACGATGGGACAATTATTATTTAACTATATCATAAAAAAACCTAACAAACAAGGCCTTAATTTGTTGCAAATCCTTTTTCATTCAAAGCAATTTGAGATGCAACCTATAAAGATAGAAAATGAGATTTTTTTTTTTATTTTGTTTTAGGATACTCTATAGTCTATACTCTAGTAGATGCATTTTATTTGCCATTTTCATTTTTTTAAAAACAAATAAAACCCAATATACTTTATAATAGAGGGATAAAACAAAACATGAAAGAATTATAATTTGGTAAGAAATCCAATCTTATCTTTCTTTTTTGAAGGTATATAAAACTCTCTTATATTTTTTGTCACTTTTTATATTTGAATTTCTCCATCCAAAAGAAAAAAAGAGAGGAAAAAAAATTCAATCAGGGAAAGAAAAGTTCGGCAAACGTCAATATTTTCCTCTTAGTAATTATGGGTAAAAAGATTTTAACCATTGCATGTGATAAGGTCGTAACTATATGCTAAAAGGATTTGAACCATTGGATGTGATAAGATTAACAATCATCTGTTTGAATTGTATGATAAAAATTGTAAGTATGGGTAAAAGATTAGTTCTTATTATGACTTCAGTTTAAATTGTATAATTACAGGCTAACCGCATTGTTAATCAGTTTAATCTCTTAATTTGATGTCAGGTCAAGGTTTTTGTATGGAATCTGCTTATGAGAAACTTCACACATTTTGCCTTCTTCCATAGGGTTGCACTCTGAATATAGTCATGTTGTTCCCTTTTTTTCTTTTTCTTTTTTTTTTAATGCTTTTCAGATGAACAAATGATTTAGGCTTTGTTTGGACATCAAATCATTTTACATTTTCACTCATTTTACCACTTTAACACAAAACTCAATGGAAAAGAAAATATCATCCAAACAACTTTCTGAATTACATTTTAAATTCTAACTTGAAACACTTTTTGTTAGTGTAATGATCATTTTAGAACTACAAATAGTTCAGTGACAAATTTGGCAGGATTCCGTTGTTGAGTGATTGTTTTTGGAAAAGTTCTTTTTTTGCAGTGACTATAATTGACAATATTTAATTGTTTAGTAATGACTTGTACTTGATATTTCATAATGTAGTTCAAAATATTGTTTTTCAAAACCAACATTCAAACAACATTTTTATTTCCCATTTAGTTTTCAATTTAAAACTTTCCACTTTTAAGTGATAAAATGAAATGTAAGTTGACGTCCAAACAAGCACTTGATCAGTGGGATATTTAAACAGAATTCAATAGGAGGTTGTCTTATCAAATTAACCAAGACGGCTATTGGAAGATGCCTGTGATTTTAATTCATTTAATTCATCTATGGTTGTAACCTTCTGAGGCCCATTTTCTTCACAAGGGACGATGAAATTTCACTACGGGTTAAATATTTCTGATTAGCAATCTGTAATAACTATTAATTCTCAATTCATTAAATTGATTGATTTCCAAAAGCGCTGTTTTAATTTTAATTTAGGGAAGAAGACAAATCACACTAAACAGAATCCATCCAAAGATGTATAAATTAAAAAAAGAAGAAGCAGAGAGCGTCACAAGTCGAACTAAATTCGATAGAAGTGAATGCCAAACTTCTACCCTCTGTCAATAATCCCATTGAATTT